GTCCTCCACAACTAGACTGAAGAACAAAAGGACAGCAACTTGTCTGTTCCCCTCCCCCAATTTCCCAATAAAATCTTTAAAAGAAAAAAAAAAAGTGAGTGAGCAGAACAACATTTGGAGAATATAGCTATAAAATAAAATTTCAAACACATATTCAACACCTTGCTACAAAAATGACCCTGGGTAGATAAATATTAAATGCAAGTTCCTCTATTTGCTTTCAAACAGCAGCAGCTGAATTTCTTTCTACCAACAACAACCCACACATATCTGGACGTTAAAAGGTAGAGGAGATAAATTCTTTCATTAGAAATCCTCTCAATGGGAGAAAATTAAGGCCCAGGTTTATAAAATTAGAGTAAGTATCCAGGAAACTTAAATTTTAAAATGGAAAATGAGGTGTCAATTTTTTCTATATTAAAAGAGAATATGACAAAAACATATATAAACAGAAAGAAAGGAAAAACAACACTTAAAAAGAATAAGGTAGTACTAATATGAATTGACATGGAAAGATCTCTGATAAAAGTGAGTGAAAAAGTAAGTAGCAGGGCAAATATAAAGTGTGATACCACATATAAAAACACATAGGCAGGCCCGCCGAGTGGCTCAGTTGGTTAAGAGCTCACTCAAGAGTGTGAGCTCTGAGCAACAGGGTCTCCGGTTTGATTCATGGCCTGAGCTGAGCTGCCGCTGAGCTGCCAAAAGGTGGCAGGATGGCTCAGCTAAAAAAAAAAAAAAAAAAGACAAACTACACATTTCTGTGTGGATGTGCATGCATATGTGTGTACATATCTGTATTTACTAATCCATGGAAAAAGATGTGGAAAGATAAAAGCCAAATTGATAACGAAGCCTACTTCTAGGGAGATGTGGTGGTTTTACTATTCTGTAAATTCTTTAACACGCCTCCCTTCAAAAGATGGAGCCTAATTTCTTTTCCCTTGAATGTAAGCCAAACCTAGGAACTTAATTCTAACAAGTAGAACACAATGAAAATGAAGCAATGCTACATCCAAGGCTAGGTCATAAAAAGGACAGCACCTGCCTCTCTAGGATCTCTCTCTCTGGAAGAAGCCAACCTCCGTGTCCAGAGGAAAGACTTGTGTGGCCTCCCACCAACCGCTGCCACCAGCTCGCCATTTTGGAAGGAAATCCTTCAACCCCAGTCAAACCTTCAGATAACAGCAGCCCCAACCAACAGCTGACAGCAACTTCAGAGAAACCCCAAGCTGGAACCATGCCAAGCGACTCCTAAATTCTTGACCTACAGGAACTTTGAAAGATGTTTATTGTCATTTTAAGGTGCTAAATCTTGGGGTAATTTGTAATTCAGCAATAGCAAACTAACACAGGAGAGAATTAAGATGGAAGGAGGGGCAAGAGTTAACCAACGGGGCATTCAGTTTGTCCATACTGCTTAAATTTTTTAAAACAAAAACTTATTCATAAATTATTTGTGAAATTTAAAATATGTTATTAAACCACTTCATTTAAGCAGTCTAAATATTTTGAAATTTAAGGGCACAGAAAAGCAAGTTAAAAAATTAATTCTTCCAACTGTTCTTTTTCTTTTTTTTTTCAAAGACATCATTTTCTTAACAGGAGTGATGAGGGAACTAATCTCAATTCCACATATACTTGAAATCAGTTCATATTCCTCAGAAAATTATAGAGGCCTTCTATTCTAAAAAAATAATATATTACCTAAAGAATGATGAAGGCAATTAGGTTTTAAAAACTTAGAGAATGGCTTTAGAGACAGAGAAGACTGTGGTACAGAATCTAAGCTCTGACTCACGTGCACAGTCATCCACACACACAGACCAGACCCCATATGGTACTAGTACTCTGCATACATCATAACTTAAAGTGTATGTCTACATCAATTTATAACAAGCCTTCCACCATATGTTACATACAAAATAAATGCATTTTCAGAGATGAGCTACCCTCTTCCTTTTTGTCCGTATGTGGGGCCAATTCTTCTTTGTGCAGGATGCCACGCACATTGCAAGCCATTTAAAAGTCCCAGGGTGTTACATGTCAGCGGCACCCACCACACATTGTCACGAGCAATAAAAAATCGTTAGGTATTTCTGTATGCTGGGGTTTACATCTGTGATGACCCTTTATGTTACTATAATGAAAATTCGCTATCTATCATAATGGGAAAATATAGTGGTACACACAAGTCAATATACCAAATAAATGAACTTTTAAACTTTTGAAAGAAGTATTTCTAAAATGTATGGCATCCATTCCAGATTTCTGTAAACAAATCATATGGGATTAAACTAATTGCTGTGATGATGACTCATGTCATAATTACAAACATCAAGGGCCGCATTGGTTAAGAGCTGGCTTGGGACGCCAGAGGACCCCGGTTCAGATCCCACATATGAGGGCCAGTGACACTGCCCTCCACAGCTAAGATGCTGAACAACAGCTCAACCTGGAGCTGGGCTGCCCTGAGTCGCTGGCGACGGCGTAGGCTGCAGCCCCTGTGGCAGTGGGTTGCCATGGGCTACCGTGTGTAGCCAGCAACCAGCGTGAGCGGCCGTCCAGAAGCTGGCGACTGATCTGCCTTGCCCAGGAAGAGGGCAATGATGATGCCAACTTGGGCCAGTGAAGCAACGTCCTCCACAACTAGGCTGATGAACAAAAGGAAAGCAACTTGTCTGTTCCCCTTCCCCCAATTACCCAATAAAAATCTTAAAAAAAAAAAAAATTTACAAACATCAAGATTCTGTGCTGAAGTATCTTAAAGAACTCCTAAGATACACTGATGATTTTTCACTTTAGTTAAAAAAAAACAAAAACAAAAAAACACTCGGGTTTCTGTGCTTTTATATTTCTTCTGAGTATCATAATTCTTCCATTTCACTCCATAATCAGTAGTCAATGCTTGTAACTGTCTACACGCCTCATCCTAGCAGTACCTTCATGCCCCGGTTTGCTGTTTCTAGTCTGCCATGACTAGAACACAGACAGCTGATCGATCTCTCAGAACTAGACACACAGCATGGCTACATCAACAGGTTTAGTGTGAGGGCCTAAATATCTCTCGTTTGTAGCAAAGTATATGAGGTTTTTCACTTGCATGAGTTTTGAAACTCAGAAGCCATAAATGTTTATTTCTAAGTTCCCAGCTACAGTAGTCCATTTGGACTTGCCACAGTATTTCCCAGTTCAGACTCTACTGGCGTGCTGGATGGGGCAATTATTTATGCAAAACTATCCTGCACAACGCAAGATATTTTTAAAGTTCCTGGGCATTAAAGGTCAGAAGCACGCTCCACACATTGTAACAACCCCCCAAATTGCCATGTATTTCTATATGCTAGGACAGTCTAGGAAGACGGCCAATTCAAAGAGGACTCGCAGACCCATGCTTGGGCATGCCCATATTCCATACCTAGGCTGTCTTAGTTTCCTCAGGTTTATTCCTATTAGGGATCCCAAGGAACAGCCTGTTCAAAAACAGATATCCTCTGCCCATAAGCAGATTAAACTTGGTAAAATCAAAGTGCCAGGCTGATAACATTCTGAATAGCAACCAAATCCCTAGACCTCTTCACCCATCTACCTGCATCAGGTTTCACTGTTCCAATGGCTCTGCTTGTATCAAGGCAAAAGTCAATTTGACAGAACAAGAGTACATAAAAGAAAGCAGGCAGATCCTAAGTGTCACCGCGAACTTTATTTGATAAAAGCTTTTATCACAATAGGAGTCCCTCTGGAAGAACATTTCCTGAAACTGCCAGGGGAAAAAAAAAAAGGTCTGTACCTTTCCAGACTCTCTTTCATAGCAGGCGAATATTCACATATGCATGTTTCTGTCTTCAGCTCCATCAGTTCTCAACAACCACAGTTTCTCACCTCCACTGCCCTACCTCTGAGAGCACAGCATTCAAGCATCTCTGCAGAATGCTTCAGCCACTCCGTTACTCTAAGATAGATATTAACTTATTCTCAACTCCAGAGATCACTGACACTGTCAAAGACAAACTACACATCACGATTTTCCCTGAAAATGTTCCATCCTCCCTCAGTATGAAGAACAAAAGTTGGATATAAGACTTTTTCGTACCATAATACTGTTTTATATGAATCAGAAGGCAGCCACCAACCAGCTCTGGGAATCAAAGCAGAATATCTGTGTAAACTGCCTGCATCATTTACTCTTAGACTGATTTCTATACCATTTTGTACTCTTTTTTGAAGTTTACTGTAATGGGTGAAAGGGATGGATTCTGGAACCAGACTGACTTACTAGCTAGCTGTGTAACCTTGGGCAAATTACTTAACTGGTCTCTATCTCAGTTTCTTCACGGATAAAATAAGAATGACAGTAGTACCTACTTCCTAAAGTTGCTGTAAGGATTAGATGAGTAAATAATACAAAGCCATTTGAACAGCGGCAGTCAGATAGAAGGCAATGAAGTGAAAATAGCAAACACCACAGAATGCAGCTTCCATTGTTATTGTTATTATTGTTCCTCAGGTCTCTCAATCTGCATTACAAAGTCCGTACAGGCAGGAATTAAGAGGACCTACATTATTTCGTGTTTCCTATGGCAAAGAAAAGAATTAACTCCAAGAATACTTATCGAGTGCCGACTGTATACATATCAATGTATTAGGTACGAGAAATACAAAGATGAGTAAGACATGATACTCAAGGTATTCAAGGTCAGAGAAAGACCTTGTAATCATGAAACAAATACTTACAATGCAGTACTAAAGTAAGGTGAGAATAAACCAAGCTTTAGAAGCACAGACGAGAGAACAACAAACTGCTAAGAGTGAGACTGTAAAGTCCTTGAAAGATAAATACTAGTTTATTCACTAAAGAAGGGAAGAAGGACATTGCAGGTACGGGAAATAGTATATATATGCACACACAGAGTGGAAAAAGGTCATGGCATGTTCTAGTGAAAAAGCACAGTCCGGTGTAACTGGAGCACTTGCAAAGTGGGGAGAATATAGATTGCGGCCATATTATAAGGTTATAGCATAATGGTAAGGATTTTGAACTTTTTCCCATGGGGCAATGAAAAATCACTGATGGCTGATATGATCAATTCTCATTTTTAGGAAAAAAATATTTGGAAAGATAAATGAAAAAGCATTATGAAGAAGCAATAGCAAGGGAGAAGACTGTGGGCCTTGAAATATCAGTTTTAAGGTAATTATTGTAGTCCAAAAGAGAGATAATAAGGATATGAACTAGGACTACTAGGAGAACTTGGATTTGAGAGACACTTCAGAGGGAGAAAGGGCTTTAGGGCTGGCTCCTGTCAAGAAAAAAAAAAGGAAAGAGTAAAGGAGGCTCTCGTTTAATGGTGATGGCATCAGGCAGGGCCTTTAGTCGGTGCTCCATAAACTTGCATTGGATGGAATTACATTCTTTAGCCTGATAAAAAAGTTAACTTAGATTGGTGACCAAGCAGTGAATTACTAAATATCAGTATGTCCAAAGTAACCACACCCTTAAAATAAAAGTGAAAGATTAAATAAAAGATTAAATGCTGGTTGATAGCAATACCACAGAATTATATTTAAGAGGAAGAATGAAGTCATGAAATTAGAATTTTCCCAAAGCATGTTTCACAGAATCTTAGTCCCAAAATATACACCATGATAAAACAGTCCCATGGTCAAACACATTTGGAAAATTTTGCACACCACATTCACCTTTAAATATTTACTTAATACCATCTAATATACTCTGACAAGTTCCATAATAAAAAAAATAATAACTTTAATAAAGACAGTTTCCCAAACTTTTGACCATGGGACATTATCAAATTTTCTAGAGACCCAGTGTTCTCAAAGACATACTGGGGAACACTACGCTTCACAAAAAGTTCTGTAAGTAGAAACACGGAGTCTCAGTGGAATCACAGCAAGTATAAACTATAGAAATACAGAAGTACAAACCTTCAGGTGAAGTTTTTGAAGAATTCGGGTGAGCAATCGTGGAAATCTTCCTATATCTATTGCATTTATCAGCGACACTGCTTTTTTCATGCTAAATAAATCAGTAAAACAAAGTTTTTAAGTGAGTTTTCCAAGGGGAGCTGTACTTGCTCGAAGTACAGATACCTATAACTGCAGTTGTCTATCACTTTTCATTTCAAGAACTCTAATTACTATAAGGTAAGGCTGAGTGAAATAAAGAAAACGTGATGGCCAACAAAGGAGGCGGGACATTTCCAGGAAGGTGTGTCGTCCCCCGATGCTGAACAACAGCTCAACCTGGAGCCGGGCTGCC